GAGTTGGAGTCTCACTCTGTCGCTCAGACTGGAGTGCAATGGCCGCTCTCGGCCACCACAGCCTCGACCTGCTGGGCTCCGGCGATCCTTCCACCTCAGCCTTCCAAGTAAATGGAACTACAGGCGAGTGCTACCACGCCCGACTAATTTTTTTGATTTATTGTAGAGATGAATTCTCGCCAAGTTACCCGGCCGGGTCTCGAACCCGTGAGCTCAGACAATCCCCCCACCAGGTTCAAGACCAACCTGGGCAACATAGTGTGACTCCCATCTCTAAAAAAATAGAACACTTAGCTGGGCATGGTGGGGTATACCTGTAGTCCCAGTTACTCAGGAGGCTGAGGTGAGAGGATCACTTGAGCCTAGGAGTTGGAGGCTGCATTGAGCCATGATCATGTCATTGCACGCCAGCCTGAGAGACAGAGCAAGACCCTGACTTTAATAGACACACACACACACACACACACACAGACACACAGGGGGTGCTAAAAAATGTATACACATTTTAAGAGATGTTAGCTATGTGTTACTTTTAGATCTCCATAATCAGAAGTTATTGGATGCTGATGGTATCCACTTTGAGCACCTCTTATAATTGCAGAAGTCAAACATGGCTTGTATTCATCTTTTGCTATCGGTATATATTGAGTATTACTGTTTTGAAACAGTTTTTTCCTTTCTTGAAATATGTATACTTTTTTTAGCACCCTGTGTGTGTGTGTGTGTGTGTACACACACATATATATGTATGTAGAAATAAATTAATAATGAGAACATTTATATATGCACTTTGGGATCCCAACCTTCAAGAAGGTTATTTTTGTTATGGTGTGAGTTAGGGATCTATTATTTTCCAAGAGATAGTAATTGCCCTAACTCCATTTATTGGCTAGTTCTTCCTTTCTCTGTAGGTTTGAAAAGCCATCTCTGTAATGTACTAAGTTCTTCTCTGTATCTGGGTTTGTCTTGTACTCTGTGATGTTCTACTAATATTTCTGTTCCTGTTACAATACTACACTACACTACACTAGATTAAGAATTGTAATGGTAGAGTATTTTGCTCCCTTATAGGGCTGATTTCCACTCATCTTTCTTCTTTTAAAAACTTGTCTTGACTGTTTTCCCAGCCAGATCATCTTAGAACCAAATGGCAGGGTTAGGCCAGACTTGGTGGCTCAGCCTGTAATCTCAGCACTTTAGGTGGCTGAGGCGAGTGAATTGCCTGAGGTTCCACAGATATAAACATGTTGGTATTTTGATTGGGATCACAGTAATTGTAATGAAGTACAGATTAACCCTACAGAATGGCAGAGCAGGGATTGTCATCTCTATTTTATAGATGAGGAGATCAAAGTCCAGACAGTGGAAGTGACCAGTGCAGGGTCACACAGATGAGAAGGGGTGGAGCAGACAGAACATCTCACCTCATCTGCTGGATCAGTGAAATGCAGCTCTTGTTTATGGAGCAGTTGCTCTGTCTGTGCTGACCAAGCAGTGTGGGGGTTGGGCATGCCGTGATGTCCTGCCTCTCAGGGGAGGTGGGTGCGTCCACCCCAGGAGCCACAGTGGAGGCGTGTGCAAGGCGCGGTGTGGCCCTGCTTGATCCTGGGGAAGCTCTCCAGAGGAGGGGGACCCTGGAAGTGGGCCACAGTGGGCCGGTAGCAAGGGGACCGCATGAGCCATGGCCGGAGGCAGTGACAGGGCCTGTGGGGGCATCCTGCCACACAGCGTGGCCTCTCCCTTCCTAGTCCTCCTGGCGGTGACCCCTTCCCTTCTTCTGTTTTACCCACCTCACCTGTGGACAGTCAAGGGGATGTGGCCCTGCCCCCCTACTACCAGCCGGAGGAGGATGATGAGATGCCCTTCATCTGCTCCCTGTCGGGGGACAATGGCATCATGGGCTGCCATGAGATCCCCCCACTCAAGGAGCAGGGCCGTGAGTGCTGCTTGTCCAAGGATGACGTCTATGACTTCGGGGCAGGGCGCCAGGACCTCAACGCCAGCGGCCTCTGTGTCAACTGGAACCGCTACTACAATGTGTGCCGCACGGGCAGCGCCAACCCCCACAAGGGCGCCATCAACTTTGACAACATCGGTTACGCCTGGATCGTCATCTTCCAGGTGAGGCCACTCAGGTCCGGCACCGGCCCCAGCCTGGGTGGACCCTGATCTCGGGGGCTGGGTGGGCAACTCTGCCGGGCAGGCAGGGTTCTGTGTTAGGAGTCTGCCACCTCATCTCATCGAAATCTGCCCAGCTTGCTACACAGTGGGCATTCTCATACCCATTTTACAGACAGAGAATCTGAAGTTCAAACAGAAGAAGCAAGCTGAATGGCTACAGATTGTGTGACTATTAATGGCAAAATCGGGCATTTAATCCAGCTCTGGGTGACTCTAAAACCTGTACTCTTTGCTGACTGCCAGGTTGCCTGAGGGCAGATGGGTTCCAGCCAGGAGGGAGGTCAGGAGGTCATTCACAGAGAGGAGAGGAGGAAGGATCTCAGCTCTGTTGGAGGGGCTAGCTGTCCAAGACAAGGGGCCTGGAGAGGGAGGACATCCCCGGTGGGGGTGGCAGCTTGAGCAAAGACCTGGGTGCAGGGAGCACCAGGGAGTTCAGTTTGTCTGGAGTCAGTAGGAAATGCGTCTCACCTTGTGATCCAGTGCACATACGTTCACGAAGCATTGCTAACTTCATGGTGTGCAAAACGCTTCCTGCGTTTCACGACCCCCCTGCTGCCGTGAACCCATGGCCTGCACTCTGTGGAAGACGGGGTGGGGGCTGTGTGGGGAACTAGGGCTGTGGACTTTGCTTGACCTCCCTGTGCCTCAGTTTTCTCGTCTTTAAAATGGGAGTCAGTAGAACAGCCCTCTCACCTTGGGTGGCTGAGAAGGATGACCAGATGGCACGACAGAGTGGTCAGCCTCATGTGCAGGGAGCCTTCAGTGAAGGTTGCTTCCAGTCCTCAGGAGGCAGACGAGGAGCTGAGAAGCCCTTGAGGGAGAGGAGGGTGCACCTTACAGACTGGGCTCCAGGTGTCCTGCACACTTTGCTCTGGGGGTGGCAGGGTCCTGAATTCAGAGTGGGGGTGTGAGGTGATCACAGCAGCTGTGTTTTGGGACCCTCTGTCTGAGAGGGAGGGCAGGTTGCTCAGGGGTTCCTGCCCCATGCATTTGCCAGAAACAGACAAGGACTCGGCATTTGCCTCTCCCAAGGCTGCCCGTCCCCCACTGTGGGAAGGAGTCAGCTGTGGTGGGGGGGTGACAGAGTCACACCAGCCTCATCACAGTCCACATTCTCAGGCCCAGCTGAGCTGTATCCCAGCCCTGCCTGGTGGGCCCTGTGGTTAGAGGAAGAAGTGTCTGGTGCTTAGAGAGGGGGTTTGGCTCAACTAGTCAGCCAGAGCCAGGCGGGCTGTCCTGCCTTCCAGTCTTCCTGCTGCTGTGGGACACTGGAAAGGGGGAGGACCCTGGAGCAGGGCTCAGGTCCCAGCTCCACTCCTTCCTGGCTTTGTGATTTGGGGCCGGTACTGTCCCTTTCTGAACCTGCTTCCCCACTTGTGTAATGTGGTTGAGGACAGCTGCCTTGCCTAGTCCTACCAGAAGCACTCGAGGCAATGTGTGTGACGTCCTGGCACGCAGCAGGGCCTCTGGCTGGGTGCTGCCCGGGCTGCCTGCCCTTCCCGAGGGCACGCTGGTCTCAGGCTCTCTCCTTGGCTGACCGCAGGTGATCACCCTGGAAGGCTGGGTGGAGATCATGTACTACGTGATGGACGCTCACTCCTTCTACAACTTCATCTATTTCATCCTGCTCATCATAGTAAGTACAGTGGGGCGGGGCCCTCGGGCGAGCTCAAGACCCCTGAGGGACCCCAGAAGGGGGAGGGTCTTTGGGGATCCCCGGGGAGCCCCTCAGAGGCAGGAGAGCCCATGGGAGGGAGGAGCAGGAGGGCAATTTTTCAGCGCAGCGACCAGTGGGTGATTGAAGGGGCTCGTCAGGGGTGGCTGCCAGAAGCATCCATCACCTTCGATTGCCGTCATTTCTCTTGTCTGGGCAGTTAAGTCCACCCCGTTGCTCCTGCTCATGTTTCTGTATCTCACATCTCTGGGAATACATTCTTTTTATGACCTGAGCCAGAGGTGCAGCCTCAGCAGGGAAGTTCTGCAGGGGTCTGGTTTATCCCAGCTTCCCTGGGAGGGAAGATGGGAGGCCCAGAGATTGAAGCCCAAGGCTGCTTCTGGAGCAGCCCTGGTGGTGACCTGGCAGGGCTCCCTGAAATTCTCAGAAGGGCTGCCATTGCCCGGGCAGCTCTTCCTAGTGGAGTGACCTGGAGGTGGAAGCAGACTGGGTTGCCCCCTCTGGGCCAGTCCCTCTTGCCCACACCCCTGCACAGTCTCCCCTGGGCTAGCTCATCTGTCTCGTCATGCCTGGCTGCAGCTTCAGCCACAGCACAGTTCCCAAAATGTCAAGGTGATTCACTCCTGGGAGAGTCGCTGACTCCCTGCTGCTGCCGGGCCGGGCTCTCTAGCTTCCGTGGGAGAGGGCATGCCTAGTTCTCTGGCGGCAGTACTCCACCCTGGGCTGGCAAGGCCTTGACCTGGGGGGCCAGAACAGGCTGACAGGTGATCCAAGACACGCCTGCTGCTGGCTAAGCCTCAGTGCTTTGCTGAGGAGGTTGGGGCCTTGGACTCATCAGGAGACACCCCAGGTAAAAGGAGAGGACAGGCTACTTCAGCAGGCTTCATTCAGCACTGCCATCCATTCCCTTGTTTATTCATGCACCAGAACAGTCGGGAAGCCCACACTGACCAGGCCCTGAGCTAACAGTGCAGTGAGTCAGACCTGGCCCCAGCCCTCAAGGAGCTCAGTCTCGTGGGGGAGATGAGCTGATAGCAGACAGCAGTATCTAAGACAGCATCTTGGGCGCCATGATAGAAGGAGGTCCAAGGGACTGAGGGAGCCCAGAGGAGGGACAGGGAAGTGGGAGGCTTTCTGGAGCAGGTGATGGCTCAGGGGGGTCAGTCAGCAGGGGAAGAGTCTTGGCAGGGTGTGGCTCGCAGAGACCCAGAAGCGGGTCAGAATACTGCACCAGGCAATCCACACACCTCTGGGGAGGGACTAGGGTGCTCCCAGTCCCTCCCTACTGCTGATGGGGTTTAGGATGGGGCTCTGGGTTTGCTATCTCAGAGCGTGACATGCCCAAGCTTGTGGAGAAATGGGGAACAGTGACAGCACCTAGCTCCTGAGCTCTTGGAGGGTTGGATGAGGCAGCCCATTGCCCACCCACACCGGGCATACAGGAAGTGCTCCATCCTTGTGTCCGCTGCTACTATTGCTGCTGTGTTGGCTCTGGTGGCCCTGTGGCAGGACTGGGGGCGGGGGTTGGCTGACGGGAGGCTGAGCATGCTGGGAGCTGGAAAAAGTCTAGGGAGCAAAGTCTGCACAACTATGCTGCTATGTCAACCTCACAGTCCAGGCTGTGCAGGGTCACCTGCTGCTCCTTAAGTGAGGCCCTGAGCCCCAGACAGGTGATGGCCTGGCCTGGGCACACAGATGGTTACAGGCCCCAGTGCTCCTTCTGATTAGGAAAGTCCTGGGCTCATCTGGCTGAAGCCCCCACTTCACAGATGGGAAAGTGAGGTGGATGGCAGGCCTGCCTGGGTTGCTCAGGGCTGCAGCTGCAGAGGCAGGGCTGGGTAGGAGGTGGGAGCCCCCAGAGGGCAGGGCTCAAACCGACCCTGTGTCCTCGAGCCTCAGATAGGCCTGGTGCGGGGCAGCTCCCCAGGAAGTGCTTGTGGACATGGTGACTGAGACGGGGATGGGGGGCATCTTCTTACCTCAGAGGCGGGGATTTTCCCAGAGTCCTCTGGGCTGGCACCCCCACCCTAGCCGTGCTGACGGGAAAGGGGGAAGGACAAAGCAGCCATGGTGCTGCGGCCTGTAGGAACCTGCTGGTGGGCAGCTTGCGGAGGATGAAAAGCTCTTTCCCTCTGGCTGGTGGGCGGCTGAGCTTACTCAGAGACTCAACAGATGCCAGGGGAGAGGTCTGTGCCTGGAGAGCTGGAAGGCAGAGAGGAGGCCTGCACCTGGGCACGTCCCTCTGGGGGCCTGAGGGGCAGGACCCTTAGTGCTGACTGGGGCAGCCTCTTCCCACCATCCCCTCTAAGCACAAATAAAGCTCGAGTAAGCCCCAAGGGAAGCTTCTTTCTTCTTGTCAGGAGGTCCAGCCTCAGAGTGAGGGCAGGACTGGGCCAGAGCTCAGGTGGCCCAAGAGGGGCCGTGGCTTCCCGGCCTTGTGCTGATGTCCTAGGTGGGATGGCGGCCGTGCCAGGCTTGGGGGTGTGAGGCGAGCCGGGCTTGGAAGCAGGCCCATCAGGCCTGGGGCCCACCTGGGCCACCGCTGTCTCCTGGAGTGAGGCCTCAGCGATCTTTTCCTGTCCCTATCTGTGTCTGTGCCTCTGTCTCTCTGGGCCCCCCACCCCCTGTTCCCCTCTCCCCCATCTCCTTACCTCCCCACTGGCGCGTCTCTACACCCGCCCTGTCTGTCCTCTCTGAGCCTGTCTCCCTCTCTCTCGTGTCTCTCTGTCATTGTCTCTGTACCCGACTTTCTCTTGCTGTCTGCCTCCCTGCTCTGTCCTCTGTGTTGTGTCTCTGGTCTGTCCCTGCACCTCCTCCTCACTTCATTTCTGCCTCTGTATCCGTCTGTCTCCATCTCTGTCTCTCCGTCTCATTTTCCATCTCTCCATCTCTCTCTGTCTTCCTCTCCCTGTGTCTCTCTGCTGGTCCCCCCGTCTCTGCCTCTCCCACCCTACTGTCCCCGTCCCTGTCCCTGTCCTCTCCTCCCGTTGGTCACAGGTGGGCTCCTTCTTCATGATCAACCTGTGCCTCGTTGTCATAGCGACCCAGTTCTCGGAGACCAAGCAGCGGGAGCACCGGCTGATGCTAGAGCAGCGGCAGCGCTACCTGTCCTCCAGCACGGTGGCCAGCTACGCCGAGCCTGGCGACTGCTACGAGGAGATCTTCCAGTACGTCTGCCACATCCTGCGCAAGGCCAAGCGCCGTGCCCTGGGCCTCTACCAGGCCCTGCAGAGCCGGCGTCAGGCCCCAGGCCCGGGGACCCCTGCCAAGCCCGGGCCCCACATCAAGGAGCCCAGGCACTATAGTAAGTGACCCTGCATCCAGGTGGGGACTCAGAGGGGCATTGTGTGCAGAGCAGTGGCACCTCCCAGGTCTCATTTCACATCCAGATGGTTCCCCTGCCGGCCCAGGAGCTCTGGTCTCTGCTCCCCCCCTCCCTATCACCTGCACTGGGCCAGGCCTGGGGTTGGGGACCTACCTTTGCCCTGGAGGAATTCCTTTTGATCTCCATGTGCACACAGACAAGGGATCCGTCCCTGGGATCCATTCTGGAGAGAGAGGAATAATTATAAAACTAACATTTCTCCCCCCACTGTGGCCGTGTCACTCCCCATTCTGGGCTCCTGCATCCCAGCATGCCCAGGCAGCAACACCGGGCACCAGGCACAAGGGCCCGTGGGCTGCCTTGCAAGGTGCGGTGTGTTGGTCCTCCAGCCCTGTGCTCTGGCCTTGGGGCTGGCTCTTCTCCTCTGCCGTAGAGGGTTTTTTCTGCGAGTTAGTTTTTTAGGCTTGTAAAGTGCTTCTCTGTCCGTTACTTCATCATTTAGAAAATAGCTCTGAGAAGGAGCAGATTGAGTGATATCACCCCTACTTTTCAGATGGGAAAACTGAGTTCCAGGGTGATGAAGGGAGTCACTTAAGGTGGCACGGCATCATGGAATGCCAGAGCTGCCAGTGCCATGCTGCCTCTAGCTGGAATTGAACCACTCCCCAGGGGAAGGCAGCCCAGGGCCACAGGTGGCGGTGCCCTGCCCCCCGCACCAGCCCTTCTGCTTCCCCTTGGTACTGAGAAGAAAGTCAGCAGGCACTGGGACTGTGCCCAGGAGCAGCCACAAAGCCTGCGATGTGCCTGTGACCTTGAGCAGCCGCAGGCCCCCTGCAGGCCCGGCTCTGGAAAGCCCTGTTCTTCCAGCACTCATGTTCTGGGAGTCAGTCTTGGGAGGCAAGCAGGAGAATTCATCCTCAGAACGGTCGCCCACCCATCCTCGGGTGCCAGCCATCCAGGCGTGGTCTTGGAGGAAGCCCCAGGTGGCTCGTGGGCTGGCCCAGCACTAGGAGGCAGGAGCTGGGGCCTGGGCAAGGCTGGCTCCTGTGTTTCGGAGGGCGTGGGGGAAGGGTGCTTACTCCGAGGGAATTCCTGTGGCCGCCCAGCACCTCCTTCTGGGAACTCTTGCCTCCTACCCCTGGGCCTCCATGCTCCCTTCCTTCCCTCTTGCTGGGGCACTCGGGTCAGGTGCAGCCCTGTGTCCAGATGGAAGCAGTGAGGCCAGGCTTGGAAGGGCTTTGACCTGTCTTCCCGGGTGAGGTGGGACTGGGCCCTGGGCTGCTGGCCCAGAGCAAGCAAGCTGGGGTCTGGCCCCGAGGGTATTTGGAGGCAGGTGTGGAAGGGCACGGGAGGTGTTGTGTGCTGGTTCTCTCCCTTTAATGCTACTTTTTCTGTCTACACAAGCAAAAATATGTTTATTCTAGGAAAATATAGAAAAATGTAAAGAAGAAATTAGACCAGGCAGACAGAGACCTCTCTGAAATGACTCACAGATCACAGAACTTGAGCCCAAGGCCAGCCCAGGCTTCTCCAGTGATTCCTGGGGCACAAAGAGGATGAAAGACCCCGCTCCCTGTTGGCCTTCTAGCCTGCTCCCTCAGCCCTCAGCTGGCCCTGACTCATAGTGTGGAGGGACATCCCGGGGGCTAGAGAGTCAGTGCCCAGGGCACCCTTCCCTGGGAGACAAGCCTACGCACTCGCGGGAGAAGGAGGAACTCCGTGGGCACCTTGGTCTCCTCTGAGGGGTGTCCATGTCTGCCCCCACCACCAGCCTTGCTCTTGCAGAATCATACCCAGTCCCCAAACTCCATGACAGGAGCTCCAGGATGGTCTGTTCTGTGATTGACCCTGGGCCTTGGCCAGGAGTCGGAGACAGTTAATATAGCCATGTGCACCAGGCATGGCGCTGGACTCATCAGTGGAGAGAATTCTCTCACAGCCTGCGAGGTGGGCGCTCCTGTCCCCCTTCTACAGAGGGGGCAGACAAAGCCCGGAGAGGTGAAGCCACTTCCCCAGGCCCCTGGGCCTCCAGCCCCTCCTGGCTGGCCTTGTGGGCCGTGGAGCTGAGCACACGTGGGGCTGTGTCCCAGGGCTGGGTTGGCCTGGTATGAGCACTGACCCTACCCTCTGTTTGCTTTGTAGAGCTGTGCCCGCGACACAGCCCCCTGGACCCAACGCCCCACACCCTGGTGCAGCCCATCTCCGCCACGCTGGCCTCCGACCCCACCAGCTGCCCCCGCTGCCAGCACGAGGCAGGCCGGCGGCCCTCGGGCCTGGGCAGCACCGACTCAGGCCAGGAGGGCTCGGGCTCCAGCGGCTCCGGTGGCGGTGAGGATGAGGCAGACGGGGATGGGGCCAGGAGCAGCGAGGATGGGGCCTCCTCAGAGCTGGGGAAGGAGGACGAGGAGGAGCAGACAGATGGGGCCATCTGGCTGTGCGGGGACGTGTGGCGGGAGACGCGAGCCAAGCTGCGTGGCATCGTGGATAGCAAGTACTTCAACCGGGGCATCATGATGGCCATCCTGGTCAACACCGTCAGCATGGGCATCGAGCACCACGAGCAGGCCAGTGCCTTTGTGGGGGTGGGCCCTGCCCAGGCCGGGGCATCCTCTGTCCCTCCCGGCCCCCTGACTGGGGCTGGGGGCAAGTCATCCAGGTGACCTTAGTGCCCAGCCCCAGGCCAAGCGCAGAAGTGGGAGGGCCTCAGAGTCTGTTGTGAATGGATAAGTGAACGAGTGATGCTCAGTAGGGCTGGACCACTCGGGGGCTCCTTTCCTCCTAAGTTGCTCAGCTAGACACCAAGGCACCCGGGGTCTATACCCTGCCAGTCCCTGTCAAATCTAATTTCTATTCTTCACTCCTCCACCTGGGCTCTTTTTTTGTTTTTTTCTTTTTCTTTTTGAGTTGGAGTCTCACTCCTTTGTCCAGGCTGGAGTACAGTGGCATGCATGCTCACGGCCACCCCAGCGTTGACCTTCTGGGCTCCAGTGATCCTTCCGCCTCAGCCTTCGGAGTAGCCAGAACTACAGACACGCACTACTGTGCCTGGCTATTTTTTATTTTACTGTAGAGACAAGGTCTCACCAGGTTGCCTGGGCTGGTTTCGAACCCCCAGACTCAGGCAATCCACTTGCCTCGGCCTGCCAAAGTGCTGGGATTACAGGCTGAGCAACTGAGCCAGCCCGTAATTTTTTTTAAATATGCGATTTCAGTTTGTCACTCAGGCTGGAGTGCAGTGGCATCATCCTGGTTCACTGCAGCCTCCACCTCCTGGTTCCAGGTGATTCTCTTGCTTCCGCCTCCCCTGTGGCTGGGACTATAGGTGCACACCTGAGCCCCTCTGTCCATTTTCCCAAACAAATGGAGAGATCTCTCCAGAGGACCAGTCTCGTTGTGTTCTCCTCTGCCCCTGAATATTTGTCACTTCCCATTGTCCTCGGCACAAAATTTAGACCTTTCCATGGACATTCAAGGCTTCCCCCTTCTGCCATGGCATGCCTTCACCAGGCCAGGGCATCCTTCTGTCCTCATCTTGACCACTCCAACACCCCCACCCCCCACAGCCCCATGGGACTGAGTGTGAGGGTGGCCCTATCATGTGGGCTCTCCCCACCTCCCTCCTGTGGTCTTGGATCATGGGGTACAAGGGAATGTGGGTTGAGTTGAACGTTGTGCCCAGGGCCCTGGGCTGTCAGCGGTGCCCAGGAGGGATGGGGACGGGGGCAGCTTCCAGGAGGTGGTAAGAGCTTGGGGAGGATGTGGTGAGAGGAGAGGAAGGCACTGTGGGGACACAGGAGAGAGGGACCATGGGGGCTTGCACAGGTGCCTCCAGTCCATAGGCCCTACCTGGATGGCAGGTCCAATCTTGACTCCTGCCATCCACCAGCCCCTAGGTAGGGTGGCTCCCTGAACCCACATCCTAGTCCTGTGAAGGCACCCTCTCTGGCAGCTGGCAGCCCCAAGGCCCGGGAAGGAAGGTCCCTGGTCCAAGGTCCCGTGGCCAACTGAGACAGATTTGAACTCACCTCTCCCTGCAGCAGGCCTGGCCTGCTGGGAGGGCTTCGGCCCTACATGCCCTTGGCTTCCCTTCTGCCCCCTTTCTGCACAGGCCCTGCACCCAGCCCGCTGCGCCCTGTGGGGGCTGCACTCTCATTTCCCTCTTCATTAGCTCACCAAGCACAGGCTCCATTCAATTTACTTAAATGCGGCCCCTGGGGCTGCTGTGACACTGTTTGGAGCTGCTGGTTTGCCAGCCTTTCTGGCTTAATTAAAAAGGTCTCTGGGGAGGGCTTGGAGGATGGCTTTCTGCAGGAGAAAGCTGGTAAGACATACAGCCCAGACCCCCCAGGCTACCTTGCCTGGAGTTCAGCTTCTGGTCTATGCCTGACCCGTGCCCGTTGGGTGGAGACCGGGCTGCACCAGCATTCCAAGGAAGGCCCCACAGGGCGCAAGGGCTGCTGGGCTGCTGGCTCCGGTCTCTAAGCAGGGCAGGACCGTAGGACCGGCCACAGCCCTGCTCCACCAGAGCCTGGGCACTGGCCTCGCCAGGGACTTGCTAGAGCCTACTTGCAATGGACAGTATCCTAGCAAGCTGGTGATGAAACAGTTGGCACCTTGTGATTGACCATGGCCAGAGTGTTTACGCCATGGACAATGGCAAACTACACATCAGGGCTGTTTTCCAGAGGTTGTTTTGCCAGCATTCTACTAGTCGCTGTCTTCTCACCCATCCCCATCCAAGGCGACACTATGGCCTGGGTAGCTCTATCCTCTGGGTCCAGCCTCCTCGGGTCTCCCTGCCTGGCCTCTCCCACTCACTCTTTCTGCCACATCTGGCCAGAGCAAGCTTTCTCACTTCGAATCTGGGGGAGCCTCTTTTCTCTGGTACAGCAGGCCTCATGAGGTGCTGAAGTCAGCCCATGCAGTGGCCCCCACCAGGCCGAGAGATAGAGATAGAGATAGAGATAGAGAGAGAGAGAGAGAGAGAGAGAGAGAGAGAGAGAGAGAGAGAGAGAACATCGCTAGCCCGGTCACAGGGACCCACCTCGGTTTCCTCATCTACAAAGCAGGTGCCCTAACTGCAGACTCTTCCCTCACAGGGATGGGCTACCATATACTGAGCACCTACTAAGTGCTAGGACCTGCGCTGTATGATGTCAATGAGTCCAGCCACGCTCAGAGCCGACTCACTACTGCATATTCGGAAGGCCACTGCTCAGGGAGTCAAAGTCATTCACTCAAAGTTTGGGTTCCAACCCTGGTCCTGCTGTTGGCCATCAGGGTGGTCCTGGGTGAGTCGCTTGGCCTCCCTCAGCTGGTGTCCCCATCTGTAACTGGGCACATAGACCTCAGACTGGTGGGAGGGTTCACTCCTGCTATTAAGAAGCCTGGCGCATGGTAGGTGCTCATTAATTAGGCATCACTTAGGAGGTTTTTGTTTGAGCCTTATGCCACCACCTCTGGGTGAGTTTACCACTCGGCTGTCTGGAGCCCCCCAAAATTAAAGAAAAAATGAGGGGAGGCAGAATTTCTAGAACGTTCTTTTTAAAGCAGCTCTAGTGGCAGCCATTGTGCGGCTGGGCTCTGAGCAGGGCCTGCCTGTGGGCCCGGTGGTATTTTTGCTCCACTCCCTTGGCTCCCAGACATGGCTCTGCGGGAGACAATCCGCCCCCATGTTTATTCTGAGCAGCCCTGTCTGAGGTGGTGCCCGCAGAGAGAGGGGGCCCAGGGCTGCTGAGAGGGGTGCAGGGAGAGGAGGAAGAGAAGGTGGGTGAACTCACGCAGCACCCCCTCCTGCAGGGGTGGCAACGGCCCGGGGGGAGGTGGCATGGGGACCCCGCTACACCGTGCACCCCATCCCAGCTGGCAGGGAGTTCTGTGTGCCACTGAAGGGAGCAGGAGGCAAGGGCGTGGTGTCTGCACAGTGTGGTGGGTCACCCATCTCTGGGCACAGGGTCCTCGGCTGGGAGGGAAGATTGGAGGTGTTGTGGCCTTTAGGGTGGCTAGTGCTGCCAAAGTCACAGGCATCACCAGAGAATGGCTCACTCGTCCAGGTTCCTCAGGGCGGTGGGTCCTGTTTCTTGTAGAGACTGGCCTAGAAGGAGGGGATGGGTGAGGGAGGGCTCAGCCAGGCAGGGGCCTGCATGTGTCTCACAAAGCAGTGAGGTGGTGCTCAAGTCCCCACCCCCTGGATAGTCTAGGGAGGAGAGTGGCCCCGTGGTTGAGGCTTGGTGACAGACAGGTGGGGGAGACGGGGCATCCGGGCCTCTCCAGGGAGGCAGGTTCTTCATATCACAGCTCTTCCTTGTGTGATTCTCCAGTAGCCTTGGGAACAGGTGGGGAGTGGCTTATCCCCTAGGGCAGATAGGGAAACTGAGGCTCAGCGAGGTGGCTTGGCTTGCCCAGGGTGAGAGCAGTGGTAGAGATGGGCTCTCAGATGCTGAGGTCAGCTGGGGACAGTTGGATTGGAGGTGGGGTCACACAGGTCATGGGACGGGAAGCAGTGCCTGTCTTGGCTTCCTCCTCTCCCCACACACACCCGTCCAGGCCCATGATGCCTCCCGAGCTGGGCAGGGCCTCCCTGCAGCCTCACCTTGTCCTGGAATTGAAGGATGGTCACTAAGTTGGAGAACAAAAAAAACCAGGGCTGGACTGCATGGGCAGCAGGGGAGGGGCAGAGGGCCTCTTGGAGTAGGGCTGACCCTAGGCTGGGACGGCGCCACTGCCAGCTCCCGGGGGGCTGCATTCAAAGACCTCCAAAGCAGGGACTGGTCCAAAGCAGGTTTTATTCTTTCTTCAGCAACCCCTGAAGTGTCAAGTCTCTGCTGACCCAGGTGTGGGGTGGCTCTGGGAAAAGGATGGGATGGCTTAGTGGCTGACATTCTAGTCCAAGGGAGAGAGGCGTCAACATGGGCTGCAGTCAAAGAAGACTTCCTGTAGGTGGTGGCACTGGAGATAGATCCTCAAGGATGACTAGGAGTTCATCAGTGAGATGGGGACAGGTATAGGGGCCAGCAGCATAGACAACCCCATCCCCCAGAGGACTCTGGGCCCTCGAGAAGAATGTGCACAGGAGGCAGGGCAGACAGCCCAGGAGGCCAGGAGGGCTGCTCAGCCATGAGGACCTGGAGGCCGGCTTTATCCTTAGGGCAGTGGGGAGCCACGGAAGGTTTGTAAGCAAATGACATGTCTCCGCTGAACTGGAGCCTTGTCAGAAAAGTGGGGCGGGTGAAGGCACCTGGGCTATGGGGAGTGAGTGGTGATGGGGAGGGAGGAGACCTGGGTTCGAGATCTGCCTTCACCATGGCACGGCCATGACCCCGGGCAGTCACTCCTGTCTGAGCCTCAGGCCCCCCCTCTGTGAAATGGGGATAACATGGGGTTGGTTGAGGTTTAGAGGGCAGGATGCATGGAGTGGGCTCAGCACACCTGGCCCACAGGAGGGGCTTAACCAACACTCGCTGCCACGACTGTTGTGGAGATGGTGCTGGGCTGGCCTGCCACCCTCTGCCCACTCTTGTCTACCCCTGCACAGACAACCGAAGGCTGGGAAGCCTGGTGCCTCCCAAGCCCCTCTGGGAAGCCTGGGGCCTCCCAAGCCTGGCATCAGACAGGGACATGCTGCCCGCCTCCTCCTGCCTCTGGCTTAACGTGGTTTGTTTTTGCCCTTCACCATCTCCAGCAGCTTGTCCATTGCCCGACTGTCTGTCTGTCTTCTTGTATGTGTCTCTCTCTCTGGCTTCTCTCTGTTGCCCACAGTGTCTCTGTGTCATCACCCGGGTCCTTCTTCATGCCTGCCCTGGGTCTTCCTCTCCACGTCTCTGCCTCTGCCACCCTGCCTCTGCCTCTGGCTCCCCCATCTGCATTTGTCTGTCTGCCCATCCTTGCCCCCTCCCTTTCCACACACCCTCCCTCCCTGGGCCCTCTCTCTCTGTGTCTGTACTCCTCTGTGTGTCTCTCTCTATCCTGTCTCTCTCCCAGAAAAATGCTTGCAGGAGTGATGGATGGTCCATTAGAAAAGATGAACAGGTGCTCTGAACGGAGAGGCAGCTGTGGCGGGGGAGGAGGGAGGCGCGCAGTGACCTTTTGCAAGCGGCGGCTCTGCGCATCCTGGCGGAAGCGCGTGCGTGGCACGTGGGGCTGGAGCCAGCCCATGTCCATCATGGCCTGGCACGCCCACGCCCACGCCTTTCATCTCTGTGGACAGCGCATGGCGGGCTGGGAAACCGGTGGCTCTGAGCAGCAACTGGGCCCTGGCTCAGCAAGGGGTGCTGGGCCCCAGACCCTCCTTACTGAGGGGCCCATCTCAGGATCCACTTTGTGAGTCAAATGTAATTACGTGTGGAAACGGGGCTTCTCCTTTTATCTGGGCTTGAGAGGAACTGACAGTTTTATTAGGTTTTCCAGGCACCAGGAGGGAAGCTGGCAGTGGGGATTTTTTTCTTCTCCTTTTAACCCATATGGAATCAAAGTTGGGTCCCTGGGGCACCTGCCACTCCGTCGAGGGGCTGGGCTTAGGGTGAGCATCCTCAGCTCTCCTACCCCTAGCCAGTGCTCTGTCTGGGCCCTCTGCCCACTCATCTGTCACTTCTGTCCCCGTCACCGGCTTTTTCTTGGCACGTAGGTGTCGGAGACATCCAGCCTCCAGGAGTCCTTCTGATCTCCCTGGCAGTTTCCTGGTAGTAGCACTCACCTTGGTTGGTTAACCTGGTTTGTTGGCTTTGCCACCAGAGCATGAGCTTCTTCTCCAGGGCAGGGACAATGCCGTGACCCATTCACCACTGCCCACCCTGGTAGCATGAGCCCAGCACACTGAGGACACTCAGATCTGTGGAGCCCATGAATGAATGAATGAATGAATGAATGAATGAGTTCGAGTGGGCCTCTGTGTGGGGTGATGGGAGAGCAGTTTGGAGTATGACTTGCTTCAGTGTCCTGCTTGCCATGTCCTTGCTGGGTGGCTCTGAGAAAGTCATTTCACTTCTCAGCTTCCCCAGCTTCAGTTTCCTCATCTGTAAAACAGACGCTAACTTGCATTAGATGTTGAACTCTGCTGGGGGCACATGGTTGGAGTTGAACATGGCCCTTCCCTTCTCCATGGTTCAGGCAGGAATGGCCTGGTGCCACAGTGAGTACATGCCAGATACTTAAAGGAGGAGAGAGGGGGCTGGAGCCCTATGTGACCCTTAGAAGAGAGGCTCCAGCTGGGCGCTGTGGCTCATGCCTGTAATTCCAGCACTTTGGGAAGCCAAGGTAGGAAGATTGCTTGAACCTAGGAGCTCAAGACCAGTCTGGGCAACATAGTGAGACCTTGTCTATACAAAAAAAAAAAAAAAATTTAGACATAGGGGCACACCCTTGTAGTCCCAGCTACTCGGGTGACTGAGGTGGAATGATTGCTTGAGCCCAGGAGGGTGAGGCTGTGGTGAGCTGTGATCATGCCACTGACCTCCAGCCTGGGCAACAGAGACTATTGAAAAGAAAAGGATAAGAAAATAGAGAGAGAGGCCTGGAATGAATGAGATCCTTCACCCGACCCCTGGTCTTATGGATAAGGAAACTAAGTCTCAGAGGACGGGGAAGTGACTGGCCCAGGTCACACAGTCCAAGCCAAGTCCAGACCCCTCCCACCCCTGCCACCTCCAGTCGTGGCCTATAGTGTGGCCTGTTCCGTACACTGGGGTTCCTAGGATGGTGCCATCTGCAGGGCGTCACCTGCTACTAAAAACCACGAGGTAAACAGCCCTGGGGGCAGAGGGAGTCTCTGGAGCTGCTGCGGGGTGGGGGAGCCCATCCCCCTCTGACCAACTTGCGACTTTGGGTGAGTTCCTTAACCTCCCTGGGTCTCAGTGTCCTCTGAGAGCAGTCTGGTGGGCTAAGAGCACAGGGCTGTGCCTGGCATGCAGTGGCTACATAGTCCCTATCCTCTTCTCACGGGGCCTGGCGTCTCTAGCCACCATGATCCTGTGATGGCTGTTGCTGGGAAGGGGAGAGAGAGGTCTGCACAGGCAGGGGTGAAAGGCGAGAGCCTCAGAACCAGGCTGCCTGGGTTCGAATCCTAGCCCCACCAACTTGCTAGCTCTGAGCTTGCTAATTCAGAGCTGAGGGACTGGCCTCTCTGAACCTGCCTTCCCGCCTACCTACAGACAGGCTCTTGTGAGGGACTAAGCATAGCGATGTCTGTATGGTGCATAGAATAGTTCCTGGTACGTGTGAAGTGCTCACCACATGGGTTAGGGTCGTGGGCAAGCCCCTGCTTTCCCGTCCTGCTCCACGTCTAGCTGTGTGACATCAGGCTGGCCTCTGAACCTGCTTCCTCATTTGTAAAATGGGCACCTCCCTCAGCATCATTTTGAAATGTGTGGAAGATCAGCCTGGTAGGCTCCCACTCTGCCCCTGAGCCCCACCATCAAGGCCGTCGTGCCTGGGGCAATGGGGAGACTGAACTCCAACAAGGACACCAATCTGCTAGGGTCACGCAGCCAGGGTGGGTGTCCGGAAGGGGACCTCTGGCTACCTCTTGGCCTGACCGGGCTCCCGATCCCCCCAACGCCCCACAGCCCGAGGAGCTGACCAATGTCCTGGAGATCTGCAACGTGGTCTTCACCAGCATGTTTGCCCTGGAGATGGTCCTGAAGCTGGCTGCCTTTGGGCTCTTCGACTACCTGCGCAACCCCTACAACATTTTCGACAGCATCATTGTCATCATCAGGTACCCAGCCACCACCCGCCCGGCGGCAGGGGCTGAGGAGGGAGCGTCATGCTCGGCCCCCGGGCCGTCCATACAGCATAGGAGATGACAGAGGAAACCAATTACACCAGAACAATGATCCACATATCAAAAACCACGGTTTAACAATATATGCTATTTAATGCATTCAGTGGCAGGATCTACACATCTTTTGCAGCAACGTGGATGGAGTGTGAGGCTATTATCCTAAGGGAAATAACGCAGAAATAGAAAACCAAATACTGCATGTTCTCCCTTGTAAGTGGGAGCTGAACAGTAGGTGCACACAGACATAACGATGGAAATAATGGGCACTGGGGACTCCTAAAAGGGGAGGGGAAGGGCTGGCAAACAACCTGCTGGGTACAGTGCTCGCTGTTTTGGTACACTGGAAGCCCAAACCTCACCATCACACAGTATACCTGGGGACAATCTGTCCCCAAATCTAAAGTGATAACAAAAAAGTAGCAAGATCTAGCAGCAGGTCTGTGACCACCATCCTGAAGAAGGGACGAGCATGAGTAATGTTTGGAAGTTGCTGCACCAACTGTCACGTGACACGAAGACATCCGTTATTTTGATGGCCCACAAAGTCTCAGATACAGCTAATATCTGTGGTTTGTTGTTCACATTCATAATCAAAAGAAAGGAGAAATCTCAAAAACAGAGGACAGTGATACTCAAGGACCTCTCGGATTCTAGTCAGACGTCTTTGGGGGATGTCCATGGACTCCAGGTTAAGAGCCCCTGATTTAGTTGGTGGCATGGGACAGTGTCCAGCAGATTTGCTGAATGAATGAATGAATGAAGTAATGGAAGCTCTCTGTGTCTCTGTCCTCCTCCCCTCCCGGCTTCCCGCTGGTCCTTCCTGCCTGTGTCCCCCCACCTGCCTGCCCCCTGGGGCTGCAGCATCTGGGAGATCGTGGGGCAGGCGGATGGCGGCCTGTCGGTGCTGCGGACCTTCCGGCTGCTGCGGGTGCTGAAGCTGGTGCGCTTCATGCCGGCGTTGCGGCGCCAGCTCGTGGTGCTCATGAAGACCATGGACAACGTGGCCACCTTCTGCATGCTGCTCATGCTCTTCATCTTCATCTTCAGGTGAGCCCCAACCCCTGAGGAGCCCACCTTGGGGCCCGCCAGGGATGCGGTGAGTGCCCGGGAACGTGGCTGGTGGAGCCTCTCCCGACAAAGCCACCAGGACCCGGGTGTGGATCCTGACACCACCCCTCCACCCCCTGTGGCTCTGGGCAAGCACGGCCCCTTGAGCCTCCGTATTCACCTCTGTAAGATGGAACCAATGCTGCTCCCGGCTCCGTGCATTTTGCTGGCTTGTCCTGAGAATGAAACACGGTGGGCGGGTGGAGCATTTGGTGCGCGAGTCCTTTGAGCTGCCTCCGTCCTTCCCCAGCATCCTTGGGATGCACATCTTTGGCTGCAAATTCAGCCTCCGCACGGACACGGGAGACACGGTCCCCGACCGGAAGAACTTCGACTCCCTGCTGTGGGCCATCGTCACGGTGTTCCAGGTGAGGGACAGCCGTGACACGCGGGTGTCAGGGGAAGTGACCTTGGGCAGCGGGTCGGGGAGGGGTAGGGGTTGACGGCCCCCACCCCTCCCCACACATAGAGGTGGCCAGAGCCTAGGCCCGGGCTGGGGTCATCACAGGGCTGACTGTGTCTCCCCATCAGATCCTCACCCAGGAGGACTGGAATGTCGTCCTCTACAATGGCATGGCTTCCACCTCCCCCTGGGCCTCCCTCTACTTTGTGGCCCTCATGACTTTCGGCAACTACGTGCTCTTCAACCTGCTGGTGGCCATCCTGGTAGAGGGCTTCCAGGCAGAGGTAACTGTGGCCCTGGCAGAGGAAGTGGCCCACAGGGTCTGCAAGAGATGGGCAGGGGAGGGGGGCCCGGATGGGAGAGGGCTGCAATTCAAACCTGTAGCAGGCAACCTGTCCCTAAAGGAGGGGGTTGCCAATGAGATGGTGAGCTTCCCATCATAGGAAGTGTGCAGATGGAGGCTGCATCTGAGATCCCTGCCTTTTCCTCAGGATGTAAAGCCCGCAGTCTGGGATTCTGGCTCCTGCTTCCTCCATTCTCCAAGGCTTTGGGGATACAGGCAGTCGGGCTGATGCGGGCTTGTGGTCTAGGTCCTTGTTAGCATCTCACTTCCCTTTTCTGAGCCTCAGTTCCCCTGTCTGTAAAATGGAGTGGCAACATCCTTTGAAGAATTCAGGAGGAAGGGAGGGCGGGCTGAGGTGACCTGTGTTCTGATTGGGGAATGCTTTCCCAGGGTGATGCCAATCGCTCCTACTCAGACGAGGACCAAAGCTCATCCAACATGGAGGAGTTTGACAAGCTCCATGAGGGCCTGGACAGCAGTGGAGGTAAACAGGCCCCACTTGTGCCTTAGGGAGATCCAGGTAGGCGGAGGTCCTCCCTCAAGCCCAGGGACTGTGGTTTGTTGTTTATGTTCATAATCAAAAGAATGCCAAATCTCAAAAAGAGGACAGTGACATCCATGGGCCATCCATGGTCCTCCTGGATTCTAGCCACAGGGGTAGTGATGCCCACTGCATCTCTCCATACTTTGTGGCCTCTTGGTTAGAGCCTTGGGGCCTTAGGACGCCTGAGTTCTGGCCCTGTCTGGCACCACTGGGCAGCTCGGAAGAAGCTTCCCCCAACCCAAGCCTAGTGTCCTTCTTGGTAACTGGGGTGACAGTCCCTGCCTTGTTTCCTGCAGTGGGCATGGGAGTCAGGTGCCCTTGCTGGGTGAAACTCCAGGTTGATCCTGAACACCTAAATAAGGCTGAGAGCCCTGCAGGCGGGGCAAAGGGGAGGCATGTGTGATGGGGTGCAAGCGGAAGACTTCCTGGCAGAGGAAGTCTCAGAAAAGCTCTCCTTTTCTGCTCCGTCCGTGTCTGTTTCTTTGTCTCACAGTTTCCTTTGCTCTCATTCTGTCCTCCCTCTGCCCCTCCCTGTCTCCACCTCACTCCTCTAGATCTCAAGCTCTGCCCAATCCCCATGACCCCGAATGGGCACCTGGACCCCAGTCTCCCACTGGGTGGGCATCTGGGTCCCGCTGGGGCTTGTGCCCCTGCCTCCCGCCTCTCACTGCAGCCAGACCCCGTGCTGGTGGCCCTGGGCTCCCGAAAGAGCAGTGTCATGTCTCTGGGGAGGATGAGCTGTGATCAGCGCTCCCTGGTGAGTCCTTATGGGCTGCCCTGGGCGGGCACTTCCTGCTGGGCCATGTGTCAAGGGACCCTGAAGAGAGGTGGCCTCAGTCCCGCCTCAGACTGTGGTGCCCAGGCTTGGGGCGCCAGACTGCCCAACTGAAGCCAGGCAGGGACCATGTCTGTTGTATGCCTGGGTGCCAAGAGCAGGGCCTGGCAATAAGGGATAAGTGAACGGTGCCACTTAGTGCAGATAACTGGGTTTTCAACTTGGCCACAATGTGCAGGGTAAAGAGCTAGGATTTGGGGGCAGGCAGACTGGAGCTGGAATCCGGCCTCAGCCACCTCCAAGCCGTAAGCCGTGTGACCACGAGCAAAGTACTGCCCTTCTCAGAGCCTTAGTTGCCTTACCTGTGAAATGGGAAGATGGCCCTAACTTGCTGTATCTCAAGGGAAGTGAGGGGGCAGGAGGGGAGGTAACATCCTGGGGGACCCTACCCGTGGGTGGAGTGAGAGGCAGGGCAGGGAGAGGACCTTTGGGGGTCCGGCCTGTTCGGTCACCCACTGGCCAGGCAGGTGGTCTTCTTATAGCCCCCGCGGGGGTGCAGGTGACCGTCGGGCCCTGTGGCCTGACTGGAGGCGGGCTTCTCCCAGTCCAGCTCCCGGAGCTCCTACTACGGGCCATGGG